GCCCCCCCCCCCCCCCCCCCCTCCCTTGCGGTATTTTTTGCCACGGAAACCCTACGCTCCCGTAGCCCGGGTACCAAGACCTGTACTGGACGACCGGCGATGGCGGACCGCAGACGGACCCTTTCAACCACAGCCAGGACGAGACCACCATGCTCGGTGCCATGATGCGTATCTCGGTCCCCGCGGACGGCACTGGCTACACCATCCCCCCCGGGAACTACCACGGTTCGTTCGTGTTTTGGCACGGGACGGAATGGAATGAACTGCAAAATATCCTACTGGTTGTAAGACGACCGACTAAAACACAGACAGGCCCGAGAAAACCAAACCAAGACATCCGAACCAACACGCCTCCATGGCGGCCCAACAAGAACTCAAACATATACGTACGTAGATTCGGGAGATGTTTCGAATTATTCCGTGCATGATATACTGTACGACATCATCGACAACAAACTTTCAGAAAAAAAAAAATCTGCTGGTTACGGCATACGACGGCCGATCGAAACAAATTTCCGTCTCGACTGTTGAGACGAGAGGGAGAGAGACAGAGAGAGAGTCGATTGAGATGAACCTGCTTGTTGTACGCCGTGTAGAACGACTGGTCGATCTAAACAGCTTGCGGGCGCCATGATGATACCCGTCTCTCTCAACTGAAAGAGAGAGAGAGAGACCGAGAGAGGGGGAGAGAGGGGGAGAGGGAAGGAGGGAGGGAGAGGAACGTGAAGCACTTTTGGAGTCAGTTGCATAGCATCGCGGCAGATCTAGTCTGTTTCGTCCCCTTCATTTTTGTTTTGATTGTCTTTCTTACTCTGCCCCCGTCATTTTTCTGTACCCATCCATGTTACGCCCTCGCCTGGTGCTACGGTAGGGGGAGTGCACTTTTGGGGGTGACATCTCTTTACCTTTTGGTCGTATTTCGGCGATGATCGTACATCGAAACGTACGTCTGTCTCCCTAGCCGAGAGGGTGAAACTCATGAGGTTATGACCCCCCTACCGTAGCGGTAGCATCACTCCAAGTTGGTCACCTCGTGTTGTTCCGTGTTTTTTTTGGGTTTTTTTTTCAGCTGCTGCTTTCTGTATGCATTCACCATGTGTTACCCCTTTCCCTCCCCTCGCGTTCCGTTTTTGTTTTCCTGTCGTGACGATTAACCAGGCTCGAAGGCCGAGATCTGCGCCATCGGTCTCCGCAACCCGTGGCGGTGTAGCTTCGACCGCTTGAACGACGACCTCTACTGCGGTGACGTCGGACAAATCTCGGCCGAAGAGATCAACTTAGTCGAGTGAGATAGCTAGCTATGTAGAGACAGGCGTTACCATCATTCATGCATTGCCTATCGACCTTCGCTGCAAAGCACAGGCTACGGCAACAGCAGTCGACCTAGGGAGGGCGGGTCTCTAAGCGCATCATTCCTATCGATCTTGTGGAGTGAGTCAACTAGGAATGGACGACGCTCTCATGCATGCAAATGCCTATCGACGTTGTACTACATAGTGAGTTGTGAGCTAGGTAGGGAGGGACGGCAACAATAGCCAGGAGCGTGGCTTGTCGTCTTGTTTTCGCTTGGTCATCGCTTTGCGGGGCTTGGTGACTGCGACGGTGGCCGAGCGCACGCACGCAAGTTTCGCGTTTCGAATTGGGACACCTCCCTTCTCCCCGTCATTCTCCACTCTTCTGCTGTATCTCGTCCCGCAATGAATTACCGTCCGTGGTGTCAGCAGCAGCAGCCTCCCTCCGTCCGTCTGGCCGTAGATCGCGACGGTGCTGACGTGAAGAAAGCTCCCTTTCGCTGAATTTGTTCCTCCCTCTGATGAAACGAAACAATCATCTCACCACCCACCAACTCAACTTGCCACTATTTTTCTTTTTATCTTGACGACGCCGACGACAAAATCCCAGGTGCAACAACAACAGCAACTACTCTGGGGAAACTAAACAAACACCCCTCCACCAACTCAACTGGCCGTTGTTTCGTTCATGTTGACGACGACCTGTATCACTAGGTGTGGCAACAGGAACTACTGTGGTGGAGGGAAACAACCATCCCACCCCGACTAAACTCGCGCCATTTTTTCTTTCTTTTGTCTTGACGACGACCTGTACCACACATCGGTGCAACAACAACTACTACGACTGACTACTTGAAATTGAACAATCACCCCACTCCACAAACTTGCAACTCGCTCTCCTTTCTTTCTCGATCTTGACGACGATGGCCTGTACAGGTGCGGCAACAACTACGGGTGGTCGAGGTTCGAGGGCTCCCGTTGCCAGGAGGCCGTTCAGGACAACGAGTTCAACCCCCCCTGCGACGGCGTAGACCGGTCCGGCTTCACCTTCCCGCTGTTCGAGTACTGCCACCCGGACTTCGACTCCACAGACGCGGACGAGCAGGAGTTTACCGGAGGCGCCGACACATGCGGGATACGTGCGGGGCCCCTCGTGCCTCCGCCGTGCATGCCACTCTCTAATCAACCAAGGTCTTGAGTCAACCTTCTTTCTCTTTCGGCCTCTGACGGGCTACCGCACCCAAACAAGATCTCGCCGTTTGTTTGGCCGGCGTCCCGAAGTGTCCGGTGTTCCACAGTTGAGACGACGAACTCGTGGGGCGGAAAATCTTGGAGGGAGTTGCTAGTTTTGTGTATGTTGTTTTTGTTGTTGTTGTTGTTGTTGTTGTTGATGTTGTCTTCACGTTAAAACCGTTCCGGTCTCCGCTCAGCACCTCGGTGTTAGTTACTGCAAGCCCGTGCTTTACTGGTCCAACTCACCCGGACCCACATACTAGCCAACGACCCCAAGACAGGGTGCACCTTTCTTGAGCGAAAACAATGACAATATAGCATCCGCGTTACGTTTGTTTGGCGGTCTCTCCGAAATGGTGCAGTTTCACCACAGCTAGCCCACCTGCCATTATGTTACGCACGTGCGCTCGTTCCTGACATATTCATATCTTTACCGTTCGTTGCCCTTTGAATGGACGTATGGATGCCGTCAGTGCTGGTGCGGCAACAACGCCGCCTACAACATCAACGGCCCCGGTGTCTGCGACTTCCCTTGCGCTGGCGACGCGTCCGAAACCTGCGGAGGGAACTTCGCCATGTCGGTGCGTACGTCGGTTGCCGTGCCTCGTTACCTCCCCGCGTTGTTCGTTGTTGGCGTCTTGTAGATGTGCCGCAACGTACCTTCCCCGCACCCTATCCCTACGGTTGTAGAAACATGCGAGGCTTCCCGTGCTGGAGTTACCGTAAGAGACGGAGAGATGACGACTCTCAAAGCTCTATTTGCTCCACAGCGAAAAAGATTGTCTGTACCGTACCGTATACCGTACCGTGGTATTCCGTAAGAAACGGAGAAGATGACGACTCTCAAAGATCGATTTGCTCCACAGCGAAAACGATTGTCTGTACCGTACCGTACACCGTACCGTGGTATTCCGTAAGAGACGGAGAAGACGGCGCCCCCTCAGGCCGAAATGCCAAAGCCCGATTTGCTCAGCAACCAACCGAGTGCCGAAAGAGCCCGATCCCTCAAAAGGAAAGCCCTCGACGAGGTGTTTCCAAACCCACCACTTCTGGGTATTGGTGCAAGCGCTTGGTTGTGGTTGTGGAGCAATCGAGCGCCCGAAAATCGGTTCATAACAGGGGTGCCATTTCTGCGCCTCTTAAGGCAGATCGGAGGGTTGTTCGATGCTCATTTATACTCGTGTTCCCGCGTCTGGAGGGCTGTTGTTTTCCCACTTACGACCCCGGGTTTCCGGCAAACAACGAGGCCACGTTTCGACCCTGACACCAACAAACCCCAGCTCTTTATTCTGTCTGCTCGACGAAGGATCTTTGCCTTTTCTAGTGTTTTAGTGCCGGCTCTTGAGCCCCACGACGTTGCCGGCTGCTGCTGCTGCTGCTGCTGCTGCTGCAGGTATACTCGACCGGGTACCTCGGTTGCTTCGCCGACTCGCAAACCAGCCGTGTCTTCTCCGTCGTCACCGGGTCCAACAGCATGACGACAGCGGCAAGTGGCACGAGAAGAAAGCGACCAATGGTGTTGCTGCTTGCTCTGGTGGTCCCTCGCGGTACGGGCGATTTCACGGCCGGCCGTTAATAACGTATCGCCGACTCTTTCTTCTGTTTTCTATGTATTTCTTTTTTTTGTTTGAAGAACGCAATGCATCCATCTCTACCAATAGAGAAGGGCCTACAGATTATTAGTGATGAATTAATTCATCGCGTTAGCGGAGAGCACTGCTACCTGTCTCTCTACGCTTCCTCGAGCAGCATACCGGGACAGGAACAGGCCCTACAATATATACTTTTCTTTTTGTTCGCCGCGCTGTTCATTTCCGGCCGTCGCTTTTGTCGACCTTCGGTTGTTGTTGCTGGTGTTGGCGTTGGCGTTGTTGCACCGCCTCCCCTCCATGAACAAATCCCTGGGGGACACGTTGTCCAAACTTGGCCGCTGCGTCTCCCCGCCTCGACATTGTAACCGTCCCCGTCCCTCCCACCGATCGTCGCTATGATCTCCCGTAATCTCTCCGGTGTTTGCTGCTGCTGCTTCTGCTGCTGCCGCTTTTTTCGGCTCCCGCAAACGGTGGTATCATACGGCGACAGATCTGTGCCGACGCTTGCGCTGACTATGCCTACTACGGCACGCAGTACGGCAGGGAGGTGAGTTGAGACTTGGAGAGCGTGAGCCTTGTGTGTGCATGAATGCTCTTCTTGTCGACTCCCTGGACAATATTTTGGGTCCTCAAAACCGAAAATGAAAAATACCCAAAACAAATATCAGCAACACACATACTTTGGCTCGCAACAGCAGTTGGTATTTTTTATCAGCGAAGCAATGATGCACGCACGCCCACGGGTTGGAGTATACGGCACACGTTTTGCGAGCGCTGGTTTAAAGCGAGGACAACAACAACAAAATGATGCACGCACGTGTCGTTGGGGCTGGAACCAAGAATAATCCGATTCAGATTATGTGGACGAGGGCGATGACAATCGTGCGCGACTTTGCCGCTGTGTAAGTCGAGGTGGAAGCGACAGCTTGGAGGACGATGGGCCTCTTTCACCCAGTTGCCTAACGAAGTTTTTGCCTCGGGCGACCGTGCTGATGGAAAAAGAGGTTTTCGTTTATTGTTTTTGAGGTGGTGTTTCGTATTCATGATGATGTGGGGCGTTAATTGTTTTTTGCGTCTGTACTGTTCTGGTTTGCCTGCGACCACGGGAATCGACCTCGTCAGGTGTTAGATCAGTACAGACAGAGGGATGTACAAGTACTGGACAGAGAGATTGGATTTTTTTTTTCTGTGAAGACAACGACAACAAACGGCATTGCTTCCCCGTTGAGTACAGTTCTTGGCACCACAACACGCCTCGTTAGTAAAGACCACGGTTTCCTCTCTTCATGCCAACAAGGAAATTACTTCCCGCTTCGTAGTATCGTCTAACCACTGCAGTTACCGCTTCATGCCGACAAGGAAATCACTTCCCGCCTCGTACTTAGTATCGCCTAAACACCGCGGTTATTCTCTCCTCACGCTGACAAAGTCAATCCCTTATCGTCGTCGCCCTTCCTCTTCTTTGAATCGATGTCGTCAGTGCTGGTGCGGCGACAACGCCGCCTACGACGCCTACGGAGAAGCAACGTGCGACATGGCGTGCAGTGGCGACGCTACGGACACCTGCGGAGGCAACAACGCCATGTCGGTACGTACGTATGCAGCTGCCTCCTGCGCAACTCATTCCGCGTTTGGGTCATTGTTCGTGTGTGCCTGAACGTGCACATTAGCAGCTCGGTGGCTGGAGACTGCTGCGGCGCCGACGTCGCAATCATCACTGGCAGATAATGGACTCCACTGCGTAGGCGACAGAATCTAAACCGGGATTGCCGACAACTAACTTGCAGAGTCAGCAACAAAAGAGTGCTTGGCAAGTTCGTCTGAGGCGTGCTGTTTCGGAGAAAATTGAACTATTTGCAGGGAAGGGTTTCGTGTGGGATTGATGCGGTTCCGAGGAGACGCCCTCCCTCTACGACCGTCGTCCATCCGGCCGTACAATTAATGCCCACACTCGTGAGCCCCTACTTTCGACCGAGGCTGATGTTCTTAGTCCCCACAGAGTTATGCGACGAATGACCGCTAAATATTTAGGTTATTGTGTTCGAGGTTTACTCAGCCGACCTCACAACAAACGGTGCTCAATTTCTCAGATTTCGAGTTTCTCGAGGCTCCAGTTCTTCTCTTCTTCGCTGCGAACTTCTCAAGTGCGCGCGCTACATAACATCATCTTTCGTGTTGTCGTCGCCCCCCCTCCCCCCCCCCCCCTTACTTTAAAATCCCTCATAACTGAGTTCAAGAAGGAGTTTGGTGACATCCCGCCCCCCGACGCCGAGTTTCTTTACCAGGAAGTTGACCCTGAACGTCAGGATTGGATTGACATAACTAAATTAGACTCGAAATTATACGATGGGGAAAAGATAAGGGTTACAAATCTTTCTGCCATTAAAGCGGTAGTTAGTATGAATCAATATTTTCCTTCCTAAGGGACTGGTCATAAAGTATAGGGGGTAAGGAGTGGGCAATCAAAGAAATGAGACAACTTTGGAGGGGTATTTTTCATTTTTGTCCTTAAAAATGAGGTGTATATAGTGTTCCAGTTACTTGCTATACTTTATTACCAGTCCCTAAATCAGTCAAATATGTTTTGTTTGTTTGTTTTTGTTTATTGATTTTTCTTGTCTACGCGCGTCCATAAAAATCCTCCCTGAGAAGAAAAAGTTGGACTTGC